TCTGCCTCCCCCTCACACACACACACACACCTGCTCTACAGTCTAGAAACACTGTTACAAGGCTCCACCCCTTTTCCCCCATCTCTCAGAGAATCTCGCCCTTCGTGGCCCAACAGCTAAGGTCTTGTACATATGTTTTGCCCATTTTTGGTTGTTTCAGGCAGCAGGGTAAACCAGGTTCTTGTTATTATATCTTGGCCAGAAGCAGAAGTCCTCTAAGTTCTAACTGGTAATGTGGTACATATCAATATATATGACCCACCCAAAGGCTCTCTGGTGTCCTTGATAATCTTTCAGAGTAGAGAGGCTTGGCAAGCCTGGAATGGAGCCTTTTCATTTATTTCCTCAGCACTCTCCTTCCAGATAATTTCACATAGAGTCATAACTTTAATTATTACCTGTAACCATAACACATTGCTTTTACTTTTTTTAGTTAGGTAGACTCATGCATTCATGCCCAATTCTCCTTTCCACCACACAGCAAAACAGATTCCAATTCCCTTTCCCATCTACAATCCACCCCTGGTCTCCATCTCAGTAAATTGCACTAGTGTTTTTCCTGTTGCTTAAACAAAAATGTAGGGGCCATTCTTGATTCCCCTTTCAATTGTCCCCTATGTTAAGCTCATTAGCAAATACTATTGGTTCTTCTTCAGAAGTCTGCCTTGAACTGCCCATTTGACTTCTATCTACATAGCTACCCATCTCAACGAGGCCATATCCCTGTCCTAATTTACTGTAGAAACCTGACTTCATCCATTTCCATTTCCACCTTTCCTCACATATCACATCAGCTTCTTGAAGAGGCCTTCCCTGACCATCATATCTAAATAGCAGCTCCTCTACTTTACCCCTGCTTTTTGTTTCTTCTCAGTACTGACCACTATACATTTTACTCATTTGGTTACTATCTGACTATCCCATTAGAATGTAAACTCCATGTGGGTAGATAGTCTCTATGTGGGTAGTTTGCTTCCTGTTACATATTGTCTGAGATGCAGTAATTGGTGAGCAATATATAATTTCCTTGCTAAAGAAGCTACAAACTGGTTTTCTAAATGTTTCTTGCCCTTCTAATTTATTGTCTACATAAAAGATATCACTATCTTTTAGTGACACCACCTGCTTTGTTTCTACCTGTTATCTCTGCTCTTAATACTCTCTGCCTGGAATATTCTTTCTCCAGCTCTTTGCCTCTTTATTTTTATGTAATTTTAATCAAGACTTTTCTCAAATATTAACTCCTCAAGAAAAGCCTTTTCCTGACTACCTTATCACCCTAGTTTCTATCAAATTATTCTTTTGTTTTCTTTATAGCATTTTCCATTTAAAATTGTGTTATCACTGCTTATTATTTATCTGTCTGCTACTAAAATGCAAGCTCTACAAGAGGAGAGACACTGTATATCTTTTTTACTACTACACACCTACACCTAAAACATGAGCTGTCACACAGAATAGATGCCCAGTATTTGTTAAGTTAATATATGGCCTAATAAAAGAACAAAGGAAAAAGCTAAACTATGTTAAAAGGATTTGCTGGGCTAGAGATGTAGTTCAGTGATAGAATGGTGGTCTAGTAAAGTGAGACCCTTGGTTTTTCTCCCCAGCACTGGGAGAAAAAAAGGCCTGCCTCACCCATAGCCAAACTATGGAAAAATCCCAAATGCCCTAAAACTGGTAAATGGATTAAGAAAATTTCATTATTTGGCCATAAAGAAGAATGAACTTTTGTCATTCATAGGCAATGGATAGACCTGGACAGCATCATGTTAAGTGAAATAAGCAAGGTTCAGAAAGACAAAAGCTACATTCTCCCTCATGTGTGGAAGACAGATCCAAATACCAGTATTATCTTACATGTACATATATGTATGTATAAGCATGTTACAGAACATGTTTCCAAATGTGAGACTGTTAAAGGAGACTAAGGAAGGAGGAAAAAAAGAAAAGAATGATGACGGATAATACTGAAATACATCACATCGGTGCGAGAACGATGCACAACAAAACACACTGAAAGTTGTTGAACAATCCAGGGTAGGGTAAAAGGATGAGTCATGGTGGGGGGTAGGTTGATTAAAGTACAATCTATTTACAAGTAAAATACCAAGACAAAATTCCCGTTGAACAAAGAACAGACACTTAAACAATGAAGATAAGGAATGTAAAATAGGCCATGTTAAGGCAAGGACTCTTGTGGGAGGGAAGGGTAAATGAAGAGGGTAAAGGAGGGTGAATATGGTTGAGGTACTTTCTATACATGTATGAATACGGAACATTGAAACCAATAGAAGTTATTTTAAGAAGCGGAATGGAATAAGAGGGAGAACAATGAAAGGGATGATCCAAACCAAGGTACGATATATGTATATATGGAAATGTCACAACGACATCCACTGTATAATATAATAAAAAACATTTCAAAAAAAAAAAAAGGACTGCCTACTTAACAAGATTAAGCTGATGCTCCCAGGAAATTTTTAAGAGATACCCAAAGTACTTACTGAAAGATTTTTGTTTTGTGGTTTTGTTTTCTTCTTTTTATTTCTGGCAGAGTATAAAAATATTTTATGAAGATAGAGAGCATAAAGATCCAAAAATGCATCTGCCAGGGCAGTGAGGGAACAGTAACTTTCCATCAGACCTTAACATCTGGTAAACCTGAGTTTAACTTTTGGCTCTGCCTCAACTAGACATAAGGGCAATTTACCTTATGTTCCCGGTCTCAATTTCTCCCACCATAAGATGGGATAATACTTGCTTCATGGAATTATTGGGAAGATTTTAAAAATAACATACATATTATGTTATGACCTCCTGGTACAGAATATACACTCAACAACCATGACTTTACTATACTGCATTTTGTTTGAAAAAGAAACAAAGCAATCAACAATAAATAAATAACAAAGCAGAAACGAGTAGAAGCAAAGTCTGTATGGAGAGCATGGGTAACAATACGGTAGCTGACAAGCTAAATCTAAGCTTATTTTTTCTCAAAAGCACAGAAAATTAGAATAGTGAAAGATGTAAGAAAGCGTTTGGGTTCTTTTACCCTACTTTTATAGGCTTGATAGATTCTGATTTAAAAAAAAAATTGTGTCTCTCTCATCCTCATCTGTTTAACTTGGTCAAAAATGTATTGAGTCTTTACTACCTACATGCAAGACCCAGTTGCAGACACTGTTTTGTCAAGAGGTGAACAAGCAGTGCTCCAACATCATCTAAGGACAAAGCTACATTCTGAGCAGTGCACTGTGGTGTGAACATCGCAGAATGCACTGAAACAAACTACATGGTCTAGCCTACTGCACACCTAGGCTAGGTACAGCCTTTTGCTCTGAGGTGACAATCCTGAACAGCATGTAACTATTCTGAACACTGTAGGCAACTGTACCACAATGGGAAGTACAGCATCACCAGACAATAGGAAATTGTCAGTTCCATTATAATCTTTTAGGATCATTGTCATACATGTAGGCTGTCACTGGCAGAAATATCATTACAAGACATGACTATACATATAGGAAAAGGAAACTTTAACTTGACTAAGAGGTCACAGAACATTTCCCATAGAAACTACTATTAGTGTGATTAAGAGTTAGGAGTATAGATGGGGCCACAGAGGCAACTAAAAGAAGGGGACAATGCCAGACAGACAGAAGAAGGTAACAAAGGCCCTGAAGCAGCAAAACCTTGATACAGAAAGTAAAAGATAACCAAAATGGCTGGAGAGGAAAGCAGGTCCATATACAAGGAATAACACAATTTATACTCTACCTGAACAGTAATGGAAAGCTACTGAAAAGTTTTTTATTATGGCAGGAGGGCAGCAAGACAGGAATGTTAGGATGAGAAACTTAATTTTGGAAGACACTTTTGGCTTCTAAATACTAATGGATCAGGGAAAGGGCAAGAGTAGATGAGGATGACTAGTTAGAAAGTAAATGTGACTAGGACAGTAGCACACAGAACAGGAAGTAAACAGAATCGGGAGCTATTTAGAAGAGAGAGTAACAGAACTTGATGAACACAGGACACAAGAAAGAAAGAAAGAAAGAAATCAATACATGAAGAATAAAGATCAGAATGGCAAATGAGTTATCCATGATACTGGAAGGTGGAAGATATTGGAGAATACCTTCAAAATCAGGTATTATTATTTATTCCTGTTATGTATGATTCAAAAAATGTTCCTCCACATATCCTTCCTCAGGGAACTTGCTGGAAAATGCATTCCACCAAAATAAGGAAAGAAAAATAAGGAAGAAGAGGCAGACATGAATTTTAGAATAAGTAAACCAAAATAAAAGTAAACAAAAAAGGAGAGCAGAATCTATAGGTTGGCAAAAAAGAAATTCCAAGACAATAGTTGTGTCAAAGGCCCAAAGTGCAAGCAGAGCAGACTTGAACAGGACAACAGAGGTTGGGGTAGCTACGAAGATGTTCCCCAATAATAAAGCTGATAGATAATCTATGAGTTAGAATGTGATTTCTAGTTTCTGGTGGAAAGCTTAGAAATATATTAGTATTAGGCAAATAGATAACTAAACAAATAAAAGATATGATTGTTGTTATAAGAAAAATGAATGCTTTCCTGAAACCAAGGAATTTTACCCATAAGATATATATTATCTTGTTCAAGCTATAACTAGATAATGTCTCTAACTAAATATACTGATCTTGGCCAGGCACCAGTGGCTCACACCTGTAATCCTAGCTACTTGGAAGGCAAAGATCAAGAAGATCAGGGTTTGAGGCTAGCCTGGGCAAATCGTTCTCAAGACCCCCATCTCCAAAATAACCAGAGCAAACAAAAGTTTGTGTCAAACATCAATAGAAAACATTCTTAAAATCACTTAAGATGCAAAACTGCAACCCAAGTTCTTTGCAAATAAAGAAGACACTATAATTGCCCCTGTGCAAGGATGACATGCAAATTTGTGAAGCATTCCATATTCAAAAAGAAGAAGAAGAAAAAGATGCTGTAAGCCAGACACTGATGGCGCACACCTGTCATGCTAGCTACTTGGGACACAGAAATCCAGAGGATCGCAGCACAAGGCCAGCTCAGACAAATAATTCATGATACCCCATTCCGAATAATCAAGCAAAACGGACTGGAAGTGTGGCTCAAGTGGTATAGCACCTGCTTTGCAAGCACTGAGTTCAAACTCCAGCCCCACTAAAAAACAAAAAAAAAGAAGGAAAGATGAGGTGCAACTTACGGTATTTACTGTGAATTTCATCTATTTCATTTTCTGTTTGATCTTTTGTAAAAACCATTACCTTAAAAAAAAAAAAGAAAAACCTTTAAAATTCAACCCCAAATGACAAAAACGGAAATTAATAGTGTACACTTTGAAATCTAAATGTGGATGCTTAAAATAATCTCTTATCTCTGTGTCATGGAGCTAGGAAGAAAAACTCCTATGTGCTTCCTTTGGTCATTGTAAATAGTACACAGTTTACTCATTATTTTTACATCAGTATAAAAGCAACATTAATTCCATTATAATATATGAGGTATTAACAAAATAATCCATTAAATTTCCTATTTTCAGTATCATTTTCCACATTCACTAATGCATCAATATTCAGAACTAGAAGACTAAAGACATTTAGTTAACTATTAACAAGGCACATCTTACCTGCTTTTCTCCTTTCCTGCCTAAACTCTCCAGGTAATATTAAAAAGGTCATATTTAAAAAGTCATATAGAAAGAAAATACAATAATATAAAGCTTGGTATGTTAAACTTCTAACTCTACTTCTTTAAATCTCAGACTTAAAAGATCAGAAATCTGACAGGATGCAGTATAGTGACCATGTTACAGCTAGCACACGGGTAGTAATAAAGCCAATGGAAATCCCATTTTCTCTTCTTCCTGGTTGTAAACTTACTTCCCTAAGGTCATTGCTTTCCTTACCAAACACATTACCAATGGTCAAGAAAATAAACCTAATTGAGAAAGCCCAAAACACTTTCTCCAGTGTCATAGGACACAATGACTATTTTCTTTTTTTGAACACCTTCCTGAAATTTTGGGCCATCAAGTTGGAGAAGGCAACCATGAAGAATTTCATGTCTCTGATTCCCTCAATGGTTCAACAGAAACTTAATACTCACATACTCTTTAGCTACTTAGTAGCTCTGAAAGTGTAATCAGCCTCAGAACTGCACAACTGCAGAGCTACAAGAGGACCTTAGTGGTAATGGTGCAGCCCCTAGTTGTACAGAGGAAGACGCCAAGAGTCACAGACTGAGCATTTATCAAATATGGCAAGCAAAGAAAGGGCCAACGCCAAAGCTCCCTGATGTAAAGGAGAGGCTTTTTCCACAGGACTCTAGCTCAAGAGCAAACTCTACTTTGGATTTTATTTGTACTATAAGTCTGATAAACATGGTTGAATACTATGCTGAAGTGAGCTGCAAGTAAATTTAAATATTCTAAGAAGAGTGGTAGAACACCTGCCTTGCCAAGCATGAGATCCTGAGTTCAAACTTCAGTACCACCAATAGATATGCATATGCATTTTTCTTTTCCTAAGTAGAAATGTGTTCTAGTATGTTTCCTACTAAACAGATTCAATAATTTTACAAGTTCAAGTAAACTTGTCTTCCCTTCATTTCTACCCAGATACTAAAAGCCACCATGGACATACATTTTCATTGAGTTTACTTGCTTCAAGACGTATCCTGGTCTTCTCCATGTTTTCAACTTCTTGAACTATTTCAGCAGCTGTTGAAATAAAAGCGTATAAACACAGTTATTTAACACAACATGGTTTTGGTCACTGTACTAAGCTTATGTAAGTGGTAACTATATGTGAACTCCCTTGTCTTATTTTGGGGGGGTTTCTTGTGGTTTTTGTTTAGTTTTGTCTTGTTTTATTTTGGGTAGTACTGGGGTTTGAACACAGGGCTCATGCTTACTAAAAAGTGCTCAACCACTTGAGCCACACCCCCAGCCCATTTTTGCCTAGGGCCAGCCTCAAGCCATGATTCTCCTACCTATGCCTCTCATTACAAGCATGTGTCTCCACACTTGGATTGTTTGTTGAAATGAAGGTTTCCCTAACTTTCTGTCTGGCTGTCCTTTGACCACAATCCTCCCGATCTCTGGTTCCTACTGAGTAGCAGGGATGACAGGCATGAGTAATATCCAGCTTTTTTTTTTCTTTTGCAGTCTTTCTGTACCTCTAATATCATTTCAAAGTAATAAGTTAATAGAAGTTCAGTACATGGAATTAAAACATTGAACTCTTACACTGCACAGTTAAAATAATATAGCCAGAAAAAAAAAACTCAAGTAATTTTGCCTTCTCCTATGAATATATAGGTCGAAGAGTATCCTCAATGGAATATGAAAATTAATTTATTAGTGTGAGTTTAATTCTTTTTTTCCCCTTTCTTTCTTCTATTTTTTTTTTCGGGGGGGTGGCGCTCTGGGGTTTGAACTCAGGACTTCATGCTTGCTAGGCAGGCACATTCCCAGTCCTAGTGTGAATTTAATTATTAGAGGATGTCTGCTCAAAACTTCAGTATTTGAAATGCAGTAAAACTTTTCAAGGAGAGAATTCCAAGTGAAACTATTGCCTTCAGAACATTTGTCCATGGGCATAGCTACCAATCAGACACATCAGAGGTCTGGACTATGCCTGTCACATATTAAATGGCTTTAATCCAAATAGTACAGAATTTTCAAATGCTATCTAGAGAGCAGGACACAATAGGTACTTTCACCCTAATGACAAGAAAAATCTGGAAAATCAATGAAACTGTAATTTTTCTTGAATCCATCAAAGCTAAAGCCAGAGAGCAATGAACTAGCATAAAACCTACGGAAAGACAGGAGATGTGGGGGAACGGGGTTCATGAATACCAGCTGACATAGGCAGTACATAGAGAAAGACTGAGACCACAGAACCTCTGAGTAAAATGATCTCACTTCAACTTTTTGATAGATTGCAAAAGACCACGGGTCTTTTCATGGCAGAAAGTATAAAAATCCTGAGAGGCTCAGACATAAGGGTTGTATAGTATATATTTGCAGGCTGTTTTCTACAGACCACTGGATATTCAGAGTCCCCAGTCTGCCCTTGCTAAGGAAGGGCAGAAAATTAGAAAGTCACTCTCCAGGTGCAAGCATTGGAAAGAAGACAAGACATGGCAGGAAAGACATAAAGCCCAACCAGATTTTTATCCCTAAAGGAATAAAGGCATTGGGCTACTAAGGAAAGGTCAGCAACACTGTTGTTCCCAGACTACAGGTAAGCTTCTACTGCTGCTGCTGCTGGAGAAACCAACAAAAAGCCACAACAAAAACCTCTACCCCCGAAAGAGCATCAGGAACCACCTTGAGCCCAGACTAAAAGACACCTGTTACTGGGGGAGGGATGGGATGACTAAAAAAGCCCCAATCCTAAGACCAAGAGACAAAGAGCCTACCAGAGGCTTAATCAGAGTAACAGAGAAGGACCCCTTGCTCCCTGCCATACAGCTAGCATGTTCCAAGTGACAAGTAACAGCAAGCTACCACTAGGAGAGAAATGAACACAGACAGAGATCATCTCTGAGACATACAGGTACATTTAAAAAAATCTGGGGTGAATTAAACTATGATATATTGCAAGAACTTTTGTAAATGTCACAATGTACCCCCAGTACAACAATAAAATAAGAAAAAAATCTAAAAAAAAACCGGGCCCTGGCAACTCATGCACCAACCTAACACAAGAGAATTCGAGAAATGTGAAGTACATGCTGATATGAGGGCATCCGCAGCAGCAACAAATCCAAACCAAGTGGTGTAACTCCTGACTATATTTACTCAATCCCAAACAAGATAGACCTAGCAGAAGAGGGGATGGAACTACTTTCAGGCAAAAATACTATTTACTTTGAAGTTCAAATTCATACATAAAAAGTCAGGCTTTCAACCACAACTTATAAAATACATGAAAAAGCAAGCAAATAATACTGTCAGAAGAAATGCAGGTACCTCCAGCTGCTAGAACTACCAGAGAGGGAATTTAAAATAACTATTACTAAGATGCTAAAGAATTTAGCGGCAAAGGTAAACCACAAGTGTGAACAGATGGGGCATTTCTGTAGAAAGCACATCAGGAGGAAATCTCTTTCAAAAAGAGCAAAGCACAAATGCTAAACTAAAACAAACAGTAACAGAGATCATTCAAATCAAGCAAAGGGAAGAACTGATGAACCTGACACGGGACTGGTAATTATCTAATCTGAAACACACAGAGAAAAAAAATGAGTTTAAAAAAAATGATGGAACAAAGCATCTAAGAGATATGGGACAATATCAAATGATGTAACTTAACATGCATTAATAGAAATCCCAGAAGGAGAAAAAATAGCTGAAGAAATAGAGGCCAGAATTTGCCAAATGTAATGAAGGACATCAAACCACAAATGCAAGAAACTCAATGATCATCAATATGACACAAAATACAAAAACAATGCAACAAAACAAAAATTTAAAAAATAACAAAATAACAGTGATATGTGCATAAACACAAAATCTTGAAGCCAGAAGAAACAAGTATATACTACATAAATAAACATCAAGAATTATATCACAGTCAGATGTGACAGAGTACACCTGTAATCCCAGTACTCAAGAGGCTAAGGTGGGAGGATCACTTGAACCCACGAGTTAGAAAAGAGCTTGATCTACATATAAAACTTCCTCTCAGAAAAAAAAAAAAGAGAAAACAAAAGACAAAAAAAAAAAAGGAAGAATTGCATCATACTTGTAGTCAGAAACTAAGATTTAAGCAGGAAGACAACTGAATGACATCTTCAAAGTGTAGGGGAAATAAGCTTGCCAATCCAGTACATCAATGAAAGTGTCTTTCAAAAGTGAAAGGGAAAAACTCTGAGTCAATTATAAATGGATAGAATGTATATTTGCAGACTTCCACTACAAGACATGTTAAAGGAAATACTTTGAAGCATAATAACCAGAAATAAACTTACCTCTATAAGAAATGACGAAATGGTAACTCATGAAGGTAAATATAAAATATACATTTTTCTTTCAACTACTCTAAAAGCAATTGTCTGATATGTAAACAAAAGCCAAAAAATGTGTGAACAACGTATGTGAAAACAAATTCAGAACAACAAAGACACAAAGAACTAGGAGTTGGATACTGCTAGAAATGTCTTATACCACAAGTGAAGCTGTAGAATGTCTTTTGAAGGTAGACTGTAACAAAAAGACGTATATTGGAAACCCAAGGGTGAACATTAACATTTTTTGAAAAAGAGGTAAAATACTAAACTGTAGAAATAAAATGTAATAAAAAATGCTCAATTAATCCAAAAGACAGCAAAAAAATATAAAAAGAACAAAAAGCAGTTGGAAGAAAAATACTAGCAAGATGTTAAATTTAAAACCAACTACACCAGTAGTTACATTAAATGTAAATGGTCTAAAAATACCAATAAAGACCAATAAAGTCAGATTTTCTTTAATGAAAAGAAACCTGGAGTAAGTGTACTAATATGAACACAATGAATGTTATCAAGATAAAGTGAGAAATTATGTACTGATAAGGGATCAATTCACCAGGAAAACACAACAATCCTAACTTCTGGTTGTAAGCAAGATGGACCAGATTCATTTTCCTTATTTTTCCCACTAAGTATAAACCCCCAGACATAACACACATCATAAGACTACTGTGAAAGTGAAAGGTTTTAGAGAGAGAAAGAGAGAGAGAGAGAGAGACTATCTAAGAACCTCAGAATTTGAAGGAAAAAAAAAAAAAGAACCAGAGCAGTCAGGCCTTAGGTTTCCTTATCTTCTCAAGCTTGTCTTATTACTTATAATGTGGAACCTCAAAAGGCATAAACAAAGGCCCAACAAAAAAAACCTACTTTCTCTAAAGTAGGTTTTTTGACAGTAGGTTTTTTGACATGGAGCATTCAAAAACCTTTTTGACAGTACCTGACCTACTCCAGCTAAACATTGCCCCCTGTGATATTGTCAGCAGACAAGTAAGGAGTAATGGACTTCCACTCCCAACCAGCAGTGACAGAAGGCCTGGGGCAGTCTTTTCTCCTACACCAACCCAGTCAGAATGAAGGCCAATTGAACAACCATATGGTGGCAGGTGGCACTTTCACCCTCTCAAGTAGTGACTGGGGGTCGGAGCTCAAAGAGAACAAACTTGGAGAAAAGAATAATCTCAACCCACACAGGAAATCCTGGATATATCCCTGACCAACTCACAGGTGAAAATGTCTACCCTTAACACACCAAAAGGTTTAAGAACTGAACCACAATGCAGAATGCCAGGTCTTCAGAGTGGTCTCAAGGTAGTAACCAAATGAAGTAGACCAGAATAACACTGCACAGACTCTAATTGGACCTAAACTGTTCTTAGAACCACAAGCCCACAAAAGCAGGCCCAGATGTTTCTGATAAACCTAAACAGGGTGACTTCCTGCTAAAGGACAATGTTAAATAGGATCTAGAACCTCATTCTAGTATACCCAAAATATGCAGGATCCAATTAAAAAAGACAAAAGATATGTGACACAAAGAACCAGGAAAATCACAACTTCAATGAGAAAAGACGCACCGATACTGAGATAACTGAGTTGAAATTATCTGACAAGAAGTTTAAAGTCACCATCATAAAGTAAAATGGCCAAATGAGCAATTAGAAACACTCCTGAAACAAAAGTAAACACTGCTTCCGTATGTAATATTTCTAGACAGCAGTTGATCCACTGTAAAAATACTACATCTTTTCAGGAGTTTGAATGTTACATTTAAATTGCTAATTTTGTAATTACAAGGAGGGAAGAACTAGAAACAAGTGAGACAAGTAAACTCAACTGTCTATCAAACAAATGCATACTCACGCTTACAGAAGATAAAACAAAACTTATAAGCATAGTAACGGACTTCATAATCTCACTGGAGGCCATGGGCATATGGTTTGGGAGGTAGGCAGACACAGAAGGCTAGAGAGAGAGAACTAAAATAAATCTTGAATTACTCCTCACAGGTATATTTTGTAGTGATGTAGTAACACACATGAGGCAATTCTGAAACTATCTGTACAAACAGTAAATGTGTTAATCCTGTTTGTAGTGAGAATTCTTACTATGGGAAAAAAGAGAAATGCAAACACAGAACAGAGAATGGTAAAGAGCCCCGAATGGCTAGATAGAGGTAATGGTGTGTTCTCATGATCTCTAAATAAATATAAATGGATTTACACACATATACATACATATATGTATATTATGTTTGCATGCAGATTTATGTATAGTCATATCCTTATGTACGTGTATGCCTACATATGTATATAGTACCAAGCTGCAGTTACTGAAACAGCCTAGAAGCAGACACCAAGTAGCAACAAGCATAGCTGGTTATATCTTAGTTTCACCAATAAAGAGAATCAATGCTCCTCAGAGAAATGGCTGAGTGAACTAGAATACTAAAAGAGTATATTAAATGTAAATGGTCTAAAAGTACCAATTAAGACAAGAAAAGATTGGATTTTTTTAAAACTAAGATCAAACATATCACAAACATAATATTTTAAATAAAAAGACAGGTGAAAAATAAAAGTATGGAAGGAGATATATTAGGTAAACACTAGTAAAAAGAAACCTGGAGTAACTGTATTCATATGGAGCACAATAGGCATCAGGACAATGAATGTTCCCAAGGATGATGGAAATGACATCTTGATAAAGGGCAGTAACTCAAATCGGCAGTATCTCATTATGCTAGAAATTAGGAATTAAGGAGAAGGTAAGAAAAATGGGGGTGAGGATGACATGTCAGAGGAACAAAGAATTGGTATGAAGATGTTCCCACTGCCCAGATCTGGAAAAATACAAACACGAAAATAATTAGAAATGGTAATCAATTACTAATCTGGGTCCACTGCCATTTGACCTGATAAATAAAACATAAGGTGGAAGAGAGGCTCTTATTTACAGAATCCTGACAAGTGCCAACTAGTAAATGTGAAAGGGTACTAAAGTTGGAAAACCATTTTGCACTATCACAGAAAGGTTAGTTCAGGTAAAAGTCACAAAAGGCACTCCACACAAAAGCAAAAATTTAATGAAGTAAAGAATAGTTAGCTAGATAGTATTAAAATGTCTCTGCAGATTTCTTATTTTAGCAAGATAAAAAAGGTAACATATATATAAACATACCTATACATATAGATATATACAAATAATGGGATACTAACTAGGTGATCTACTAGTATCATTTCATAATGACAAAGAGACTGTCATTTGTCATGAACAAGAAGTCATAACAATACTAAACATAGAATCACAATACAGTAACTAAAAATATAGAATGGAAAAATCTGTACAGTTTGATATTTACAAAACTCAGTAGCTGATAGAATCAGTAAATGCAAGAATGTAGAAGATGTGAATGCACTATTAAGCAAATTTACATAGCTGATATTTACAGATCACAGAATAAAAGCATATTTTTCAAGCGCTTATGGAATATTTACCAGGAAGATTAAATGCTAGTTATGAAATAAAACATAATAAATATAAAAGGTCTGAAATCATACAGAACAGGTTCTTTTGCTACCATGAAATTAAATTAGAAATGAATAAAAAGATTTAGGAAATGTCCAAATGTAGGTTTAGCATCTCTACTCTGAAATGCCTCCAAATACATAGGTTTTCGAGCACCCACAAGCAGAAATTCCACACCTAACCTTATGATACAGCTCACCATCAAGATGCAAGCACCAAAAAAATAAAATAAAAATTGTATAAAATTACTTCAAGCTAGGTATAAATATAGCATATATGAAACATAAATGAATTTCACTTAGACTTGAGTTCCCTCCCCCATAATATTTCATAATGTATAAGCAAATATTCCAAAATCTGAAAAAAAATTCCCAAATCCAAAATAATTGGATCCCAAGCACGTCAGATACAACATACTCAGCTTACACTGGAAAATTAAGCAATGCTTAATTCGTTGAAACAGGAGTCTTGAAAACTTTTTGCCTAGACTACCCTTGAGCCATGATCCCTCCAGTCTCAGCCTCCCAAGAAGCTAGGATTACAGGTGTGAGCCACCAGCACCCAGCTAGAATACTAATATTTTTATAAAACGATAATGATCAAGGATACGTGTTTGAATATAATAATCACAATGATAACATTTACTAAATGCTAACTACTTGCTAATGCACTTTACATATTATTTATCTTGAAAACATTATGAAGTAGGTAGTACTTTAAGCTTTAGTGTATGGGTGAAAAAAACTGAGGTACAGAGACATCAGGTAATTTGCTCACAGTCACTGAGTACAAAGCTACAAAAAACTGGAACTGTAGCCAAGCTCTCTAGATCCACTCTCCACTGCCACACTATCTCTGGAAAGATACGTTAGAAACTGGCAACGGTGCTGCCTCTGAGAAGAGGGTTTGGGTACAGGGAGGCAGGCTGACAGGAAAGACTGGCTTACCACAGTATTCTCTAGGTATCTTTCAAAGGAATACATTTACATATCTTTTATATTACCAAAAAGGTATTTGATAAAAATTTCTATGGTTTATAATTGTTGATCAGCACAGAAATGCTTTACCTAGAAAATAAACATAATTCATTGTTTTATTACTTTACCTGATTTAGGATGCAAAGCATCACACTGGGCATTGTACATGTGCACAAATTCTTGGTGCCTTTTAATAAGCTGCTGTTTATTTCCATGAATAGATAATCCATGCTGTTTTAGTTTTTTCTTTAAGTCACGATCAGAGAGCAAGTTATACACAGTTTTGGGCAGCGGCTTCCTTTTGTGAACAGAACTGAAAAGGGAGGGAAGATCTCTGAGAATTATTATGAATTATCAAATGTTTTCATGTAAAACAGTAATTTTTGAGTCAATACCAGGCTGATGGGAAGAGTAGTAGAATCATTTAAGATAAACAGGGAAGGAAAAGGATCAAGTTTGTTGATAAAGATGGCAGTGTTTGACATGTTACACCTGAAGTGCCAGCAGGATCCTAGCATAGAAGAGTCCAGGTAGCACCAGAAGTGGGAGATTCAGAGCTCAGAAAGAGACCAGGCCTAAAGATGCAGACTTGGAAGTTTTATGTGGACTAAAATGCTACGAGAACTTCACTTAGAATCACAATGATGTAGGCCTATTTAGTTCTCTATCTCTTCAAAGCATGCTTTGCTTTTCCTAAAATTTGCCCAGGGTTTCCACACAGAATTCCTTCAAAAACCAGATGATTATTGAGTAAAATGCTACTGAGGATTAGGCTATGGATTTAAGGATCACATATAGCTTCTCTAGAAAAAGCTCTGGTCCACAGGCAAAGCTGCCCCCTCAGATCCTAGATAATCATTTTTACAAAAGCACCAGATGAGTAATCAAAGACCTGTTAAAATGGCTAGCTTATGACTATCACTGAAAAAATAACTCACAAAGTTGACCGATAGGCAATATTTTTGTAGATCATCTTCAAACAATACAATGGAAAACAACAATAAAAAATGACAAGGTGTTGTTCTCTACAGTTTCAGTTATTTACATCAATAAGCGAATAAGGCCTTAGAAAAAGTGTATTCGCAAAATTACCACTTGGCTTTTCATTTTTCATTCTATTTTCAGAATAAAAACACTCTTAAGTACTATATGCTAATTTTAAGTGTAGCAAAGTCTAATAAGTTACATTCTCCTACTCTTCACTGCCCCTATTTTTTAAAATAGGCTAGAATTCAAGCTACTAAATGTATCAATGACTTGGGATAACTTCATAAACAGCAACTCCTTAGTGAATTTTAATCTATTTCATCTGATTGTAGCATAGTGCCCTGATTACAGCACCAGGTTCAGTTCTGTGGGCAATTAGGTGCTTAATAAGTACGTTCTCAAAATGGTCATTACCACTGCAATCATTTCAAAATGAACAGCAAAGGTGAAGGTGAAAATTAATAGGAATTCAAAAATAACAGGTTTACCCAAAACACAAAACTTTGTACAGGATTTGCATAGGATAAGTTCACATAGTCTGTACTTCCTGAACTTAAGAATTATCTGAAGAGACTATTTAAAATGCAGATCCTCAGTCTGGTGCTCCACATCAGTCACCCTTTGTGGTTCAGGTCTGAAGTAGAGACCTAAAATATTTATTTTCAACAAGGTTCCCCAGGGTAAATGGGATACAATGTTCCAAAGGTCATACTTAGAGAAATATTACAATCAAGTAGAGAAAAACAACCAAACATGTCTCTATTAACCACCAGTGCCATTTCCTGGCTAAATTATTTGTTTTATGCTCTACTCATAAAGTCTAAAAGTCAGAAATAGCCACTTAAATGTAAAAGGACCTGCAAACCTCAAGAGAGTATAATTTTTCTGAAAATTGTCTTCTTATAATGATAGTCAATTAGACTCCACAAGACTGATAAAATTATGGCAAAATAAAATCACAGTGGGTAGCAACAACTGAATCATTTTGTAGGCTTTTATAACAAGCACAAAGGGAGGAACGATTTACTAAGTTCCTCTCTAAAACATTTATTTTATCAAAGATAGATGATTAAATTTATAACTGTGAAACTCTAATAAAAACTGTAGTGTTCACTGGCATTTACAATGAAAAGCACTACCAGAGATCAATAATTTGTATCAAGAATTTGAAAATATGGAGCCAGATAAATGTTTTCCCAAACATGAACAAGGCATTAATCTTTTGTCCATGATTCAGTGAAACTGAGTATTGCATTTAAGGGGCCTCAGAATCTGAAGTCATCAGAAGGAAGAGTTTATATTTATAAACTGTGAGATTACTTTGTATAGAATGGTTGCCAGTATGAGTCTGTCCCCCAGAATATGCATCTACTCCAAACTTACTCAAAAATTAAGTGACATCTTTTTATCTTTAATCATTAAAAATGGTACGATGACCCCAGGGCTGGTGGCACATGCCTGTAATCTCAGCAATCAAGAGGCTGAGGCAGGAGGACTGCAAGTTCAAGAACAGCTTGGGCTACATGGTGAGACCCTGTCTCAAAAAGCCACTAATAATAACAGTTAGATGACCCTGCCTTATTAACGTGGTTTTTAGAAAACAGATCAAACATAAGGCCCAATCATTCTCTTCATCCCCACTTCCCAGACATCACTTGCTTCTTCAGCTTCCCTCCTCTTCTTTTCCAGATCTCTCTGAACCATTATCAATTCTCTCCTTCTTTCCTCCTATTTCAGAACAGTCCTTTCAACAGGTCCCGGGTAACTCATTACTGGACTTTTGATCTCTTGTGCCATCTACCATCTGCTCCTTCACTAGAGATACTGGAAGGAAAGAGACTATAGGTTTAAAAGCCCCTATTTAAAAAAATAAAATAAAATCTTCCCTTGATCTTGCTGCTCACCCATTCCCCAAACTAGCTCATCTCTCTCCCTCCATCACCAGACTCATCTAATTTGCAGTTTCTGTTTCCTTATTATATTCATCAGCCACCGACTCCTGAAGACCCTGAAATTTAACTTTAATTAAAATTTCATTCCTGAACAACTAATATATTCAATGGTAGTGGACTAAAGAAATTGTCACTCTCACGTATAAAGGAGGCAGAATAGCAGAGTAGTCTGGGTGCACACACTGAGCTGACAACTTATTTATTCATGTCTTCCGGGTGGTTCAGAGGGGAAGTCTTCACATTTCGTGCACACTTTTTTGTATGTTTTTATCCACATGTACATACAACTACCTAGTGAAAAAATTAATTTTTGAGAAAGCTTGATTTAAAAGGCTGGGGACGTAGCTCAGTGGTCGAGGCAGACTATGCATGTGCTTAGTATGTGTTAGGCCGTGAATTGAAACCCAGCAACACACACACACAAGAAAGCAACTTTAAGTATTCTAAGAACCAAAGAAAGGCTTTGTATGTTCTATATGAAGAGTCTAGTCTTGCTTTCTTTGGCCAAGGCATTTTATGGAGTTCAAAAATTCTAAGAAGTTTAAAAAGAATTGAATTCTACATCACTAATTTCTTTTTAAATCAAAATGTGCTAGGGGTGCAAATACTCAGTATACTCAATCGTATTTGGCAAAGTGTGAATTATAGAAAGAATAAGAGTAAAGGGGATGAGAGAGGTGGCCAACAGGATTAAATTAAAAATCAAGGAGAGGAGCACCTAACTGAAGCAGCATAATGGTTATGCCCAACTTTCTTACCTTCTGAGGCTTTCCTTCTTTTCTTCACGAGATAAACAGCTGTCTAAGTGCTTATTGATGTGATTTTCTGGAATACTAACCCCACAAACAGGACAATCCACTGTATTTTTTTAAAAGAGAAACAGAGACTTTATTATCTGCAGAAAGGGCAAAGTTAACATAAGCTGGCATCTCTCAGCAATTACAATTAAAAATAAAAAAAAACAGAGTCCAAATTTAACATTCATTTAAGAAACCAGAAAAGAAAAAAAAAATGACCCACAAGGGCAGTAGGAGTAAGACAAACTAGTAACTGGGAAATGGATGAATTATAAGAAATCACACATTCAGAATTCTAGTCCTAGAGACTGCCAAGAAGTTTGGGAATTAGTTTATTGGAAAATGGTTTGGTTAAATCTTTTCTACCAAGGTAAATTCAAACTGTAAAACTACTTTCCAAGCCTTAGGAACCATCCCAACTTAGCACAGAAGTAATTATAACAAATTTGTAACCACGACAAAAATTTATTGGCCTAAACCAATAAATGCTTTAATCTAGCAGTACCTACCTGCCATCCCACCTCCAGACCAGGTTTACCTTATCCAAGCTGCTGCTTCATGGAGTTACAGGGATCTGTGGAGTATCTGAGGACCCAGAAACCACCATGGATAAAAAGCAGTAGCCAAGATGAGGAAGGGAGGGGTGTGGCAAAGCAGCAACAATCTCCAGGCCCTCCGTACCTACTTTTAACCTAACACAGTCAATTTTATCTCCTTTATATGTTATGGTACATTGTAAGATTTCACTTGGAAAAAAAAAAGTTCTGCTGGGAGAGAAGTTAACTATTACACTAAAAACACTACAAGAGCTGTCAAACAATGAAAAAAAACTGTTCAAGGATGAAACATGGTAGGAAATGTAAGTGAAATACACATATCCTTAAGAAATATAAGCACTTAAGTACTAATAAACTAAATCCAAACAATCCTTGCACTATGGGTTGTTAAGTCTGAGAAAGCAAAGAACTTAGGCTTTCCAAGTCACCACTTACACCATAATTCTGGCATCTGTCACCAACCACTAGGCAACTCTGCCACTGCAGCACAACACACAAACAATATGCAATGGGTGTGGCTACATTCCAGTAAACCTTTTAGGCGGTAAGCCAGATTTGGCCTTTGGGTTGTAGTTTGCCAATCCTTCATTGTACTGGAGGGCAAGCAGGGGAAATCAGCTTGTGTAGAGCAGGATTTCTGAGTGGGAGAGGTAAGAAATTAAGGTATGACGACTGCGGTACAGGTCAAGTCATCAAAGGCTTTAGATATCAACCAGAAGAACATGGGTTCAAAGTGTGGTATAGTAATATAAAAGAGCTCTTTAAACTGGAACTGACATGTTGGATGGGGGAGAGAGGACTTAAAACTAAAAAATAGAAAGCCACTTGTAACACTTAAGTATGAACCAATGAAACTGCTTCAGTGTTGCAGGATCATCCTAGATTTCTATTCTGAGCGAGAAAGTGAACAAATGCATCTCTAATCACTGAGATTATGATAAGGTAAAATCTGGTCTGCCCCTTCCCATTTATTTTTCCTCAAAAATACTGCCTGCTCAGGGGGGAGAAATGGCCCAAACAATGTATGCACATATGAATAAATAAATTTAAAAAAATACTGCCTGCTTATTCTATGTCATGTGATAGAAGATTTCCATTAAGTATGAAAATGCACATAGGAAAATAATTTCCTACCTTTAGTATCTTGTTTCAAAGCAGATGTAGAGGGCATCACAGAACCATTAGCATCTGAAGAGCCAGATGCCATCTTTCCTATAAAACCTGTCTCTTTAATCTCAGTAGAAGTGCTTGCCTCTTTTTGAGAGCTAAATTTGCTGTCGTTTTCTTTTATCAACAACTCTGATGTAGAATTACCAGTTTCTCTGGCCAAGAAACTGTCCATTAACCTGCTCGCCTGCTTTACAGGATGTTGAAAGGTCCCAGCAGTATGTATTTTGACGGCAAGTTTCTTTGAGGAGAAAGAAGCAGGAGATATAGGTGGTGACTCTAAAGCAAACTGCAATAGATGATTCCTTGATGCACCAAAAAAAAAAAAAGATAATTAAAATTTCAAATTATATATAATAAATTGACTCACATGAGCTGTTTTCCCAATTAAGGATTGTTTCTCTGAAATACAAAACCTATACCATTATCACAACCAAACCATGTTGCTTCTAAAATAAAACACAAAGCATAAATCTGACTTAAAAGGTAGTTACGACATGTATAAAAAGAAATGAGCCAGGTATGGTAGCACACACCTTTTAATCTCACCTACTCAGAAAACAGAGGCAGGAAGATCAAGAGTTTTGCTGGCCTAAGCAAAATTAGCAAAACTCTATCTCAAAAACAAAAGAGCTGTAGGCAGCCTCAAGTGGTAGAGTACTTGCCTAGGGTCAATCCCCAGTGCTGCAAAAAATAAATAAATAAATAAATAGGTTAGATTAGATAGATAAACAGATAGACAGACAGGATTTCAGGTTCTGGTCATGGAGAAAGCTGGTATAAGGCTTACTCTCCAATCATAAATAACTTTAAAATCTGGACAAAACATATAAAACAACTGTTTGTAGACACTAGAGTATAATCAACAGAAAATTATGATTCTCAGAAAGAGAAGAGACACATGAAGTGATCCAATATTCTTCCAAGATTTTACCCTGGCAGCATTTTCTGGGATTTCAGAATTGAACTGACATCTGAAGAGGAAAAGTGATCTCACTGAGTTAAAAAAAAAAAAACAAGAACAGAGTTCTGGGCAAAGATGGCTAGCACTAGAAGAGATAGAGTGCTTGACATGTGTTAGCCACCAAAAGTAAACCCCAGGAATCTGCTTAGAAATTCTCGTCCATTTGTATGTAATCATCTCCAGGGTGCACAAGTATAAACAAAACCACAGGAGACCTGGCAGGAAGCTGAAGCTGAAGCTGATAAACTGAGACTCCAAAGGTCAGTGCTAGAAAGTTGTTGATGCTTGAATCCAGCAAAGTGGAGAGACTCAGAACATTCAGGTGAGATACCACAAAGGCCATAATTTGGGAACAAGGACACAACTGTAAATATACATAAATAAAAGTGAAGCAGACTCAAACTGACAAAACACTACACCAGACCTTAGCAGAACAAAGGTGAGGAGCTGATAACTTAACTGTCAAAAGAAAACTCAGAATCAGTTAAAGGATTAAAACTTCTACAGACATTTTATCCACAACATTCAGCACACATTTAAAAATTACCAGATACACAAAGAAGCAAGAAAAAACAGCCAACTATCAAGATCTAAAGTACTCTATAGAAGCAAGCCACTCCAAAGAGTGACATTAACAGATAAGGACTTCAAAAGAACTATGAGAAATACGTTAAAGAGAAAAGAAGACACACAGACAAATTAATAAAAAGATAGTGTACAATGAGAAAGAATTAAAATCCATTTAAAAAGTCAATGAACATTCCACCATTGAAAAATACCATACCTAAACTGGATGGCTTTAACAGCAGACAGCAAAGACGATAATAGTAAAATCAAAGGCAGATCAATAGAAAATATTCAAGCTAAAGCAGAGAGAAAAGAATGAAAAGGACAGAAAAAAGCATAATATACAGAAAGAATGGAAAATAACCAATGTTAGAAAAAGCTAATGAGAGGAGATTATGAACACTGTAGAACATTAAATTTGGAACTTTTGTGTGTTTTGGGTTGGGTTTTTTGTGTGTGTATGTGTGTGTGTGTACTGGGGACTGAACCCAGGGCTTAAGAGCTCTACCATTTGAGTCATGTCCCTAGCACTAAATTTGGAAGTTTAGATGAAATACACAAATTTCTTGAGAAGCATTATTCATCAATACAGGGAAAAAAAAAAACCAGAAAACCCAAAGAGTCTTTAAAGAAACAGAAGCAACAACTTAAAAACTTCCTACAAAGAAAACTCCAGGTGGCTACATTGGTAAATTCCACTAGATATGTAAGAAAGAAATACTATCAGTATTGCACAAGCTCATCCAGAAAACAGAAATGGGGAATATTTCCCAATTCATATTGAAGCATAAACTTGATGAAACTAGGCAAGGACATATAGTATAGTTTGCCAATCTAAAATAAAACAAAAAGTTTAAATGACATATGAACAAATAAAATCTAGAGATAAATTTTAAAAATAGAATGTATGATGATCAAATGAAATTTATTCCAGAAATGTATGGCTCACTTATTACCTGATTATTGAATGATAATCATCTCAATAAATATACAAAAAGCACTTGATAAAATTCAACACTCAATGACAATAAAAACACTCCAAATCAGGAAAAGTAGAAAATTTTCTTAATCTGATAAAACATTATCTTCAAAAACTTTCAACTAATACTAGTCATTAGTGAAATATTAATTGAAACATCTCCCTATACAACTGAAAACACGATAAGTATGTCTACTACCACCACCTCTCTTAAAACTATAGAACACAAAAAAGGGGAAGAGGCTAAGGGGGAAAGATATAAAGGGTACAAAATTAGAAGAAAGAGAAAGAAAACTTTTGATTTGCAAATTATATGATTATGTACATAGAAAATCCAAAAGAATGTAAGAAATTAGAATTAATGAGTAAATTTTCACAAGACACAGGTTCTGATGTCAATAATCAAAAATTAATCTTGTGCCTATAATACATTAAACAAACAGAAAATGAAATTCAAAAATATTAACTACCTAGTAATAAATTTAACAAAAATGTACAAAACCTTTGCCCTAAAAACTATAAAACACTGTTCAAAGAAATAAAGGAAAACCTAAATAAATGAACAGATGTTCCATGTCCACAGACTAGAAGAATCAACACTGTCAAGATGTCTATTTTTCCCACATTGATTTATACATTAACTGCAATCCCAACCAAAAATACAAGTCACTTTGGGAGGAGTAAAATAATATATGCCCACCAGCCTGCCAGCAGTCTTGAAGAAGAGCAAAGTCAGAGAACTCTGACACAGATTTTAAGAACTTCTGATACAGCTTCAGTATTAAAGATATGGCAGCGTTAGCTTACGAAGAGAACAAGTGTTAAAGGAAAGTCACCACAGCTGTCTATTCAGGCAAGATGTGAAAAGGAAAGGAATGGAATTCAGTACAACAGGATAAAAGTGGGGAGAAGTAGGGCAAAAATGGAGAAACCTTTCCTGCTCCTCATGCAGGCAATGGGAGTAAAGACCCAAAATGGTGGTCCTCATCTCTCCTCTTATACCTTCCCAGCTGGGTCATGTCTAGCAACCTCTAATCACTAAGACAATGGATCTGGGTGGCTAAGATAGGTGCTAACACAGAGAGATGTCATCTAAGCCTACAAAAAACAGAGGGACAATCAGAATGCTTTTGAACTTCCCTTTGCTGGACATCCTTCCAAGGATCCTAGCAGCTTGTTCAAGTCTCAAAGAGGAAAGCAGATGCACACAGTCCCTTCATGTCTCCCTATTCTTATAACTTAATGTCTAAAAGAAGGTGGGAGGGAACTAGATGATAGGGCTTTTGCATTTTTACTTTCTTGTTCCAATGTCTGAGTTTGGCACTTTTAATATTTAATAAAAATAATATAATTTCTCTGCCTCCTCATCCATCTATCCTTTCTCACCCATCACTCATGGTTAACTGCTACCTACACAGGGAACATGTGTCCAGAATACACCGACACATACATAGTCATTTCGCCCATTGCAATTTAGTGGGTCTTTTAATAAGTGATGCTGGAGGAACTGAATATCTGTTGAGAAAAAAAGAAAATGAATCCTGATTCTTACATCCACCACACACAAAAATTATCTCGAATAGGTTCATAGACTTACACATAGAAGCTAAAATTGAGCTGGGCACTAGTGGTTCATGCTTTTAATCCTAGCTACTTGGAAGACTAAGATCGGGAGGATCGTGGTCAAGGCCAGCACAACAGCTCTGGAGGAAAGTGGTTCAAGGCCAACACATGCAAGCAGTTCGCAAGACCCCATCTCCAAAATAACCTGAGCAAAATGGACTGGAGGCATGGTTCAAGTGGTAGAACACCTGCTTTGCAAGCATAAAGCCCAGTTTCACAAAAAAAAAAAAAGAAAAAGAAAAAGAAAGAAAAAAAAGCTAAAACTGTAACAATTCTAGAAGAAAACATATTTTTAAAAATTTAGTAGACAAAGATGTTAAGATTTATAAAGCACCAATCATTGAGAGAGAAAGAAGAGAGCTAAAACAGATTTCATCAAAATTAAAACATCTGTTCATCAAAAGAGCCCTTTAAGAAAATGAAAAGGTAAGCGACAGGAAAAAAAGTACAATATAGATGTCTGGCCAAGACACATAAAAAATTTCTAGCAAATCAGTCACAATTTTAAAAACTGGACAAAACCTTGGAAGATACTTCAAAGAAAGAATAAGCACATGGTTCATCAAGAAATGCAAATGAAAAACCAGACTGAGCTACCATTTCACACCCAATAGAATGCTGAAAAGAGCTGACAGTACCAAATATTAACCAGGACACAGAGAAACTGAAACTCCCACATACTGCTGGTGGATATGGCACAAGCTCAATGGAAAAACACACAGATTTTTTCACAACAGCCATAAACTAGAAATAACCCAAATCTATCACCAGATGGGCAGGCAAGCAAATTGTGGATATGTATACAATGGAGTGCTATTCAGCAATAAAAAGAGCAAATACTTCCAGTCACATAAAGTTTAAAAATAATCTGTAGCAAAGAAACCTGAATGGTGGTTGCCTCTGAGCTAGGGATTAAATAGAAGCAGAATAAGGGAACTTGGGAAGGTGATGAAAATGTTCTATATCTTGACTGTGGTGGTAATCATATAGATGTGTACATTTATTAAAAATTAATGATATCCTGTAATACCAGCACTTAGGAGGCTAAGGCAGGAAGATAGCAAGTTGGGGGCCTTACTTGGCTACCCTATCTCCAAAAAAAAAGTCAATCAAAATCCAGTAGGTATTCCACTATCTGTAAATTTTACCAACTTTAAAAATCAAAAACTAGA